GGCGCCGCCCGCGCTGCGTCCCGCGCCCCGCCGGGCAGGGGCAAGTTCCCCTTTTTTGAGAGGTTTCTCTCGGTGAAACCTCGGAAGGGCGTCACCGCTATACCTTGGGTCCCCTGGCCCATCTTTCAGGAGCGCACTTAAGATAGCTGAGCATTTCCATAGTTTTCTGTTTCAATGAAATAGATCAGCGGTGGCACAAAACGCGGTTAACCTCCTCTCAGGACCCGGGTGCCTTTTTCACTGCTACAGCCCATACTTACCTGCAAAAACACATTGGCCTTTGCCGTACCTCCAAGGTGCCACACCTCCACGCCTTACCAGTGACCTCCGCCACTCAAAGGCAGAATAATTTTCCAAATTATTAATAGAGTGTGTGACCGTCAGCTGTGCTTTCCTACTGGGAAGGCTGATTTCAGGGTGCACAGGTTCACTGCTGAGGCGCGGCTGTCGTGGTTTGACGCAGCAGCGATGGAGGCGAGCACGAGGCCTCGGCGACCCCGTGGTTTGTCTATCTGCCAGCCCTTTTAATGACTCAGCCCACTGCGGCGAGATTGGATTGAAGGGTAGCGACTTCAGAGATGTTCATTCTTTCAAGTTTTGTAAAAGTTATTCGCTAGGTTGCGGAAGAGTGTCCCTTAAGGAGGAAAACTCAGCCTTTGCACTTCAGGTGGCTCGTCAGGCCACGCACATGCCTGAGTCGACCAGTCAGCACAGGTGGAGGTTGGGGGCAGATCATATGTGGGCCTCATGTGCCATGACAAGAGCCATAAAATGGATATTCCCCATCTGCTTATTCAGGAGCCCTTGGAAACCTTTCTCTGTAGTGTCTGAAACTCAGCACGTTCAGTAGGCTATTGTACTAGGCTGGACTTGGCTATGATCCTATAGGGCAATTTCTGTTCTGACTTCTAGCACTACGAACAGTGATAAAAATCTGTGTATATTATATGTATTACTTGCCTGAGTTGTCCTGCTGTTTCTAAGAGACTTTTCTCCATTCCTTCTGGACAGAAAGGATGGCTGAGCACCATGCTTCAAAGCAGGAAAATATGAATAAGTAATATGGAAGATATTTAAGGAGTAACACAGTCTCTCACAAAGTAGAGCTAATTTGCTAACAGATGACAAATACAAATGGTGCAGTGGGTGTGTTTTACTTTCTAGATTCATACCTATGACTTCTTGTGTCCTTATTCCTTCTGTTGCACCAGACTTCAACAAAAAAAGTTAGTTCATTGTGCTTTGGTTTAATTGCTTACATTGCATAAAACTGCTACATGATTAAAATATTATATTAACAAATTTATATTCACTAAAGCTCTGTTAAGAGAATCTTCCTGTAGAGTGAATATTAAATTTGCCTCCACCCGGCTTACTCATCTTCTGAGATAACTAGATGACAAGAAGGGCATTTCAAGTTTGTAGGACATTTATTCTAACTTCAGTGGCATTGCTTCATTTTATGGTAGTATTCAATATTTAATTGGTAGTGGGGAAAAAGTTCTATATCAGGAGAGCTTTCTGAATTAATTAAATGCCTCATACTGTAGGTACTCTATATTTGAGTCATATTGTTTGTTTTTACATATGCATTATTCAGAGTACTTTTATACAGAACATTTCAGAAATGTTCTTTGCCATCTCGTCTCTAAGAAGGGATTACGGAATATCATTGTGGTTGTCAGAATGAAAGACTTTACTTTTCAAACTGGAAGGAAAAGTTTAGCTGTAAAATGAGATCACCATGATGTATAGAAATAGTAATGGCTCTTTCAGATCTCCCTGTAGAGTAAAGGGTAGTAAAGTAGTGCACATGGAAGACACGGTACAGATGGGCAACACATCTGTTGTCTTTTAAGAATACAGCAGCAATGATACTATGCTCACCTCCTGCTTGGTTCATTGCACGTAATACATCATTTATTTGCCAGATCAGGAGCTTAAAGCTGTAATGATCACATTAATAGTCTATTAAAGTCTTAAGGAGGTTGTATTGCATACAGTTACCTTCCCCCTAGCCCCAATGTATATGTATATAAATAAAACAATAAAGCCTCCATATCTGACTCATCTGGGGCTGACTCATTTTTGTAATGAGGGTCTGACTCAATTTTAAAAAATCTTCTCGGCCAAATGAGAACAAGATTCCTTCACAGAAATGATTCGTTCACTGTTTAGAAGGTATACGAAAGTGGCCATTAGAGGGTGACGTTCCTGAAAGAAAAGTACCCCAAATGAATAAAATAATTTCTAAGCATGATTCTTCTCTTATTTTCGTCATGGTACATTAGTTTTATCTTCACTGTACTCATTTAAGTCATCCTCACCTATGCCAATGTAAGACGAGAACTAGGCTCTATTACTTAAGGTGACAAGAAGTAGAAAGAAAAGCCATATTAGAAAAAGGAAATGAATAGTTGTTTTGCATAAAGCCCACACTAGGTTAAAAGCTAAAACAGGAAGGAACTTCACCATCAGTATGCTAGATGGGACTGCTTCTGTGACATGTGCTTGGTTTTGAGAAAATCAGAACTCTTCAGATTACTAATAGGAATAATTACCATGTTTATTTTATGTTTACCTGAATTTTTCAAAGTCCATGAAGGTGAGTGCTCAGCTTTTAAGATAGCCCCTTCTTTATTCTGAGGTCTGATTGCAATTGAAAAGTTAGCATGTACTTTCTTAAAAGGGATAGTTCTGATGTGATAAGTCATATGGACTTTGTAAAACATACATATGATTTTCTTTAGATTTTTAACCAACAAAGTTAATTGTATGGATAATTTGAAATGTTTGTCATTCATTATGTACACTGCAATTTTTTTTTGCAACTATTTTCACGTAACTGTTCTTTTACAATCTTCATTGTAAAGAGAGTAATTACAATATTGTAAAGAGAGTAATTAAAATATTTATGTTTTTCTGTAGGAGGTACTTGTATCTTAAAATACAACTTTTTTGAAGTCCCTGTACTGAAATGCCTGTAAACATTTGTACAGTCACTATCTGGTATGAGACTGTGTCTGAGAAAGAGCTGTGCAGTGGTAACTTGATAAAAAATAGAGCAGAATATGTACAACTGAGTGATATGTATAACTGAGTTTGGGTGTTCTTAAAACTACCTAATAATGTCTAACAAATCTTAAAAAGAATTCCAAATACATCTTGGTGATCCTAAAGGTCAGTACTGAATTTAGGACGAGTGCAAAATATATGTGTATAAGTTATGCATTCAGTGCTTTACTGAAAATCCATAAATAAATTAATATTTAAATAGTTTTGTCACAGACATTCCTAAGTAAGCTTTTGAATAGATAAATGTTATAATAAAAAGCATCCCTTAGACAAATGGTGTGTGTTCCCAGACATCATTCAATTATTTATGAAGCATAATTTTCTGCAGAAACCTTAGTATTGAAATATACCAAATTAGGTTATTTATATTTACATTTTTATTTTCATTCATCAAAAGGAATAACTATGGCAATAGCTTGAATATACTGATTTTTATAGATTATAAAACTACAAACTTGATAAGCTGTTGTAAGCTTCAAATATTGTAGAAATAAAACAATTTAAGATGTTGGAATAATTAATGTTTTACTGCTATGCAAAAGTGGCTAAAGCAGTAGTCAGATTCTTTGCTAGCACAGACTGCACAAATAAACAATGGCATGAATATTGCCAGAAGAAAGCATATTGACATTATCGTCAGTCATCAAAGAGCAATTGTGTTTTTCCATGATAAATTGCCTAGATTGCTCTTCTTGGAGGTGCTTTATGCTGCAATAGCATGTTCATTGCAATTCTGATATCCGCATGTGCTCTTAATCACCACAGCGTGTCTAAAGAAGAAGGTCCAACTCTTTGTGCATGTAAGGTGAAATATATAAGCAGAATGCAGCACAGAATTATGTTAGAAAATTTAGATCATTGTCCTGTTTTGGATGTTCTAAAAACTGCATAACAGTGTCTAAATTAACATAAAAGAGAGTAAATATGCTGAACGACTTTCTTCGAAAATTCCAAGCAATCTGGGTCTCTGTGCTTCATTGGAAATCTTATATTAGAAACTGGTTTTATTTTAGATTTTGTATCAAACTTAAGATGTATAGAATTACTTTGCTACAGATGGCTGCCACACGAGGCTGTGGACAATACTTAACGGTACTTACACAAGATTGTTGTCAGAAATCTTTGAGGTGTGAAACGGTGTCTGGATATCTTCCTCTGAACCCTAAATGGGTGGTTGAAACCTCCTAATTCCACATGCTTTTCTAAAAGCGCATTAAGGCAGTGGATATTTCAGGTTTTTAATATAACCTCTGATGTGGCAGGCAAGCAAAGAGTACAGAGTAGTAAGTGAAACTTTGACTTTTTATTTTCATTTAAGAGTGGGAATACAACTGGAGATTTCTCATTGAACGGAAATTCTGAGGAAGATCAAATTGGCAATAAACTAAGCCTTTAAAAATCCGATCAAAATAACACAGTTCGGCATTACAAAAAGTGACATGTTTCCTTTGCATTTGTAAAGCAACCCACTTGTTTGCTTAGGAGTCATTGTAACTTCCGACTGCATGGCTTTAGAGCAGGAAGTTGTAGCTTTAGAGCCTGACGCTCTCAATCCCAGTCCCCTCCTCTCCGTTCAGCTCCTTGATGGACTGTATCTCACAGAATCCATCAGTCATGTGTTCCCCAAGTTGTACCATACAGCTTGTATCACTGCAGTACTGTATGACTATACTATTATCATTTCTGTAAGGCAGTGATAAAAATACAATTTAATATATTACCAAATTGATTCGAAACAGAATATCACAGATCAAATGAGGAAACCTAAAATGAAATATTTATGATTTTCTTAATGGTAAGATTTTTTTTACAAATTCAGATTTTCCCTGTGCATAATTTCATTTTAATGGAATTGGATTTTCTATAGAAAAAAACGGTAGAGGCTTGATTTCATAGAATTTCATAGAGAATTTCATAGCATCTCAGAACTTCTTAACATTACGCACGTGAGTTACAGATCTTTGAAAATAAAGCAAAATGTCTTAGAGGCACTGCATGGTTTGGTGTCACCAATCCTTATAACTGTAAAGTTTGTCCGCATTCGGATTTCCCACAACCGTTACACATTGCCAGCAATGTTTACATTTGGGAGGGAGTGTTTCCCAGTCCTGTGCCAAGCAGCAAGCCTTTTGTGGCTGGGGCTCTGTCTGTCTGCCAAGTAACCCGCTCAGGAGCCTAGTCCTTTTCCAGTTGTGCTTTCTGTGTTCAGCCAGATATAGCCTTCCCTACGAAATCCACAGTCCTGTGAGTTGAAAGAAAATACATTTTTCTGATACTAGATTATAATTCGGATGGCTTCTCAGGAAAGCTCAAGAGGATGGTAAGCACCCTCCCTAGCAGGACAGCATGCAAACATTTCTAGTCAGATAACATGCTTTAGACACGTATGTAACGTGGCTAACAGGTGGCGCTAGCGCTAGCTGGGCCGGGTGGAACGCATAATGCAGAACGCAGCTCCTGGTGCTACGCGTGGACGTCTGCTGCTGGCACAGCACGGCCGGCAGATCCACAAGCCCATGTGCAATCTTCTGTGTGAAACAGGCAAAACGGAGAATTGCCATTAGTTGACCTTGAAAGCTGTAGCAGTGGTTTTAGGTTGGTTGCCAAGATGCATACATGCCTTGCATGAGATTAGGATAAGAATTTAATTACACAAAACTCTTCCTACTTCGGCTGGAAGAATTTGATTTCAAGAGCTTGCTTTTCTCCGGCTTGTGGAGGTCAGATCATGAGCATTTTGTGGCAAATCTTTGACACATGTAAGGGAAAGGTCAAGCCCTACATTTTGCCTGACATTTTTCTTTTTTATATTAAAACAAATTATCTTTTTATCTACCTAGGATATGTGTTTTACATTTCAATTTATTATCTGTTTTGTGAGGATTTTACGACTCTGTGACGTAGGGTTAGTAAAGTGAAGGTAATTGACTGTGGCATTTGATTTTAGATGTTATTTCTGTATCCTGCCTGAAATCCTTCACTGAACTGATTCTGAGGTTAGTCCCCCTGGATGCAGATGCAGGTGGCCTGTTGAAACTGTCAGATTGCAATTAAGTACACTTGTCAGAGTGCAACTGAGTGAGAAATTAAATGCTGTGTTTTCCTCTCTCTACGTAATGATTTATGACCCTATAACTCCAGTTACTCATAATGGGAGCTAGACGCATAAATTTGTCTTCATAGAGGTGGAAGGGTACCGCTAGAATTGGAAGCTGAACTACAAAACTGTGGGTTAGTACTGCATAATCTCTAAACAGAGAGTGATTATCTGTATCTATAAAGACATATTTCATGTTGGGTCCCAGTAGTTTTTTACTTTTAAGTTGTTTTCATATTGAGAAAATAGTTCAAAGTTAACTCAAGTGAAAATATACATGATTCTTAGACTAAAGCCCTAGTTTAATGTAGAAGACAGCTAAAAAAAACCACTCGTTAATAATTAATACTCTGTGTTTTTTCTTACTTGCCAGAATTGCATTAATGTACTCCACATTAATAATCTGATATTGAAATTTGACTCAGAATGGCAAAAAAGTTGGTCATAATTAAGATTTCATGTCTGATGATTGATTTTTATGAGTATAAGAGATCATAAAATCTGTGGTCAGAGACTTTGGGTGCATTTCTATGTAGTTTCCCTGTATGGCTCTACTGTCATTGGAGAGAAAGTTTTCATTCAGATTATAGTTATTTTACAGTGTAATCATACTGGCATACTGTAGCTGTGTGATTCCAGGGCTAAATTCCCTCTGCGACTATGATAGGCTTCATCTTCTTTTCAAACACAGTCAAATCTGAACAGCTTTGAAATAGGAATATGGTTAGATACCACCACAAATACAAGTTATTATTAGGAGAGATTTCATGCAATTCAGCAATAAAGTCCAGCATGTAGGTTGTGGGAATATTCTGTGCTTGCTTTTTCTCATTTGATGATGTATTCAATACGCTGCCAAAATCCTCAAGAAAGAATGTTATGTTTCATTGTATGATAGTTAAAAAAAACTTTCATGATACTTGGATGCACATAGTTGTCCATGTGTCCTATCTGATTGCCTTGCTGATACAGTACTCTTTGTTTTACAGCTAACACTGTAATTATATCATGCAGGGATACCTGTGCATTGAATAATACCACTTTTCCACTTTGCACTTTTAACAATTCTTGCAAAAGCTCCCTGCAACAAAGAAGAAAGAACGAGACTGTTTTACTGAAGGCCGTTGTAAATCATCCCAATTTCCAAAATATTCCATGTATTTGCCAATCCTCCAGCAAAGAACAACAGTCACATATTATGTACTCAGAGTGTGAATCCAAGAGAGAGAGGAATGTTGTTCCCCGAGGACCAAGATCAGTAACTAAAAAAAGTAAGTAAGAGAAGAACTCTTAATTTGTAGGTAGGTAATTGCAACATAAGATATATGTTTTTATTTGGTAGTTAAATGTTACTATGTACAACTATAATGTGACTATTGTTTTTGGCCTTAATAGCTTATCTTCGCATTGCTACAAAACGCAGGTTTTGTGCCAGATTCTAAGTGGCATTCTTTCCTGTCGGTGAGTGAAAAAATTGGATAGCAAAATGCTGATTTCTTCTGGGGGGTGAATCTTGTGCAAAATCTAGTGGGATGATTCCCATTGTCATTGAGGAGCTTTGTATTCGTCTGCGAGAGGGATGGCTGTGAGAAAAGAGTGGAAAGAGTATCCTCTACCTCTTACAGCAACCAGCAAGAATAATTTCTGCTGAAAATTTGACCTCAGCCATGTGGGTTTTATGAATGTTCTTCTGTTCCCCTCTTTGTTCCTTTATTTGTGCTGTATTTTCTAAAATCCTTAATTTGTTTTTAATAATTGGAGTTTCTGATCAATTTTCATGCAGAATTTGATTTTAAATGTTATTGTGGAGTTGATATCTGCTGTTATCATTTTGATATCTGATATTATATGATGAAAGGTTAAGAGTGAGTATTTGAAGAACTAATTCAAATATGGCAACTATTTAGATGGCAGCTATACAACAAAAAGAGCCAAATAACCATTAAAAGAGCCAAAATAACCATTTGGTATTTCTAGTCTATGCTAGGCACAACTGTGTAGTATCAGAAATGGCCTTTCATAGAAGGCAACACTGAAGAAGGACTTGTCCAGCATTCCAGAGAGGAGTTCAGCAACATCAGCATCTTTTCAGAGCAGTAGCATCATATTCCTTCTTTGCCTTATACTCTTGCAAAGTGTCTGGAAACTTCTTGGGGAGAGGATGCTTCCAAAATCTGTTTTTCTGACATACATTGCTAGCAACAGGGGCAATAGGCCAAGCACTAAAAAGAAGAACATCATTTTTTTTCAAACTGCGTCATTTTTTTCTTACGAAATAGCTGTCTTTACAAGCATGGAAAATAAACAAGCAAGAAACGTGGACAAACTCTATTCTCAGTTACACTCACACAGCTCTAACAAAATCTCACATACGTGCTTGTTGTTAGTATGGCACAAGTCTTCCAGCTTGTGTGGTTTGAAGTGAAACTTTCAAAAATTTTCTGCCACAGATAGCAGACAGACTAGATTACACTTCAAATAACTATTATCATATGGCTTTCACTTATTTTTTATTTTTTTCATAGTCCAATTTTCTGTTATCTTTGTCAACAGAAGACCAAACAACAAAAAAACTGAAAAGCTTTGAAGCTGATAGTAAAGCAGAAAAGGGCTACAATGGTAGGGAAAATGTATTTTGATTAGCTAATCAGTACTCTTCAGATCTCTTCAGAATAATTTTACATGTTATCCTTTTGTCCTTTTTTATCATAGTCAATAAAATCCTTGTTTTCACAAATGAGACAAAGAACTTATTTTAGCATTTTTTATGAGAGTTTTTTCTCTCTCTCTCGCTCTCTCTCTCTCTCTCTCTCTCTCCTCTGTATGTTATATAACAGTTTTGTTTTAATTTGTAGTTCCAAAAGCAAAAGGCTCATTTGACATGAAAACGGAAGATCTTGTATATTTTTATAAATATTTCAATTTCACTATGCTTCCTGAGAACGAAGAAGAGCATAATACTTACTACATGCTGGAAGTCCACATCAACAATTCTATAGTCAGAGGACGAAGCGCAGCTGAAGAATACCTAAATCACTCCTGTCTGGTGGCAATGATGGAAGACCAAAATGACTGTATAAATATTTCACTGCATCTGAAGTCTTATGTGGAATGTAAGTTACAAAGGAGAATCAGAAGGGGAATCAAACTCACAAACAGTGGGAATCTTACAAAAAGTCTCCAATAGGTAATTCTGTGCTTTCGGCAACCATTTTAAAATATTCCCCAAGAAAAAATAGGCATTTTTGATCTTTCCTTACTAAAAGAACATCTTGGGTAGGCAACGGACATTCTGTATAGAATCATTTAAAGCACATTTCGCTGTATTTTCTTCCTAGAAGCAACACAGAAAACTAAATGTCTGTAAATTCACTTAGCTTTTTTTTTTTTTTTGCTTAATGTTGGCAGACTTCCAGAATTCATGTATGACAAAAACTGGAATTGCCTTTCCCCCCACCTTTGACCGTAATGCCGTAATCATTTTGTCGTGGAGGTGAATTAAAAAATTCCCGTCAACGTCAATGACAGGAGAATCAGGGGTCAGATCTGACTGTTCTTAATGTCCTGCTGCAGTATCCTACTTTCAGCCTTACTACAGTATGCTTAGAAGCGAAATCTTCAATTGAACTAGGTTTTGTTTTCCCAGAGGACAACCTATCAGATTTTTAAATTTCTCTTTGTGCTGCGGGAGTTTTTTGGCTGATTGCCTGACCATGGTCAGGGCTTCCAGCCCATATATGGAGCACTTGCCATCAGGGAATTGGTGAATTATTACGTTCATTGAGGTTTGTATGGCAAATATATTTTATTTTGTGGCTTTGCTGGAAAAAATGAGTGTTTTTGAGTTGACTAAACCTGAGTTAAACAATCCTAGGTAAAATCTGCTAAAGGCAGTTTAGGTTTTTTACATAGGTAGGTTTAGCCATGAGTAACTTGTGTCAAAACTATGAATTAACTACCCTTGTGATTTACCTTGGAACTAGTTATCTCAAATCAACACTGAGAGTTGAGAATACACCTTTATTTCTAGTTACTTCAAAGGAAAATCAGAGAGATGCTCAGAGCTTTGACTAGGCAGCACTGATTTATAAGTCATTACAACTACAAGATGTGGTGGAGAACTCTCTTTGTAAGCAGAAGGCACAAATGACTGTATAGAAGATGTTTTTGCTTCTGAATTAGGAGGGATAAACTATACTTTATCAAAGAGCCATGGGGTTATTGGCGGTTACCTTAGGACTTCTCAGTGGAGAAGACACAAAGGAAGTTGGTATAGATTTAATTATAATATTCTAAGTCAAGAGTAGGAAAACTGTTTTGGATATAGTCTGTAATTTGACTTTATATGAGTCATTGTCACATAATTTTTTTTTTTTACTACTATTTGACGATGCTAAGGTGTGCATTAGCACGCAGCTGCCAAAGAGGTTTGAAAGGACTTTTGAACTCTTGGGGAGGAAAGCTCCCCCACATCCTTTCTCTGTGCTCTGTAGTTCTGACTTGTACTAGTTACTGACCTAATTGCGTGGGGAATGGGAGTATATTTCTGCAGTAGCTGTTGACCGAAAGAACAGCCTTCCCCCTACGCTTACCCAGTCTCGAACAACTTTGGTTAAAATAATTCCTCAGAGGGTTCTTAGAGGTGGTATTTCTTCACCTTTTGGTAATGATATTTTTCTATATGTAGTATCTTACCACCTCCCATATATGAAGATGGAACGGGAGGCTGAGAATGCCAAAACAGGGGTATGTTGGACGGTAGGCCAATTCCTTTGGTTTCCCATCAAAACACAAACAAAAAGGGGATATACATTACCTTTGTCTTGCCTTAAATGTAAAAGTTGATCTTTGAAGCATATTCTTCCTGGCAGAATCACATATAACAGTTTACACAAATAGAAAAATTTTCATTCACTTAACTACGTCTAACTATTTCAGACATGGAGAGATAGATACAGATGAAAATGAAGCTAAATTCCAGATAGGAAACTTAATTGCAAGTAACACAGAAAGCTAAAAGAGAAAGGCACAATCTTATCTTTTGTTTTAAATTTTCATCCGTCAGGAATAGTCATGATCCAAAAACCCAGCCAGATAGCCAAGATAGACTGTTCTGCTTTCTTCTGCCAGCCATTTCCTGCTTCTTTTTCTCTCTTCTGCGTTTTATGGACAGATCCCATGTGTATGACGAAGATCATATGGCTCAGTATGATTCCATTAGTTTTTGTGTTCACTATTTCAACCGTCGTCTACAAAATTGTCCAAGAAAATGAACAAAACTGTAAGTAATAACAAGTCAATCTATATGAATTTAAAGTCATGTCCATACAGTGTCTATACAATGTAAAATGTATTGATTTACAGTAACAAAGCTGTTGATTATCAATGTGGTTCAGACAGTAACATTTTAGTTGTAATATGGTAAAAGTTTAATTTAAAGGGACTGGAATAGCCAGATGATTGATGTTATCACCCTTCACCTCTGAATTGCCGATACAAATCCAGACTTGGTGGTGGTGCATGAAATGTGTTTGCATCTGACAGACGCTTGGCAACCTATGCTCCTTGGTGTAACGAACCTCAATTTCAGACCGATTCCAGTAAATAAAAAGATCACAGCTGAGCCCTGTTGAAGGTCTCAGCAGAAATGCCAATGACCAAGTAGAAGCAGAGACTGAAATACCCTTTCCTTCCTTGATTATGATCCATCCAGGTCAGGGTCAAGGCAAATTATGGGCTGTGAGAATACCCCATGTATATCCCATTGATATGGTATAGATATAAGGAAATACACACTCAGCTGTCTATCCTGAAAACTAGTCATCTAAATTCAATGGTGGTGCACTGCTACACAGGTCAGCTAAGCTGTGTCCTGTTAACCCTAGAGCTGAAGTAAGCCCAGATAACATTTCTTCTCTTTGCTGTGATTTCAGCAAAGAAAATAACGCTGTGATTTCTGAGATCAGCATGCTTGCCTATTCTAAGTGATTAGAAGACTCACTTCACTAGGAGAGAACTTGTCCTTAGTTCAGAGGCTGAAACAATTATTTCTACATAATGACTTCACCAGCCAAGACAGGTTCCTCCCACGCATTTCACTTCAGACGGAGGCGGAATAAGGGTTTACAATATTTCTTCTAGCAACATAACACGGAAAGAAGCGAGAATGAAAGCGTAGCATTCCCCTGAGCATGAGACCTTTGAGCAACCAACACAATGTTCTCTGTGCAAAAACAGCACAGAAAACTGACCTCTTGTCAGCTGTTGGTTTTTGCTTTTCATCAGAAGTCAGAGGTAGGTGGTAAAGAGGGCAGGCTGTTTCATCAGTGTGAAAAGAGTGCTACTTAATGTGTTACTTGAGGTAAGAGCACTTAGTTGCTACCTACAGCAGTTGCTACCTACCTGTCAGCCCCGAGTGGGCAGCATGCCTCCAGAGAACCAGCATTTAGCTGCTATTACTAGACAGCTTTCCGTCCCCCTTGTAGTCCAGAGCTGCAGAGTGGAGAGCTTGATCACAAGGGTAATGAAAAAATGATAAGCTATATCGGTTCTCTTGATCATCTTTACTGTATCCACAGGCAATTTTGTAGCAAAAGAGCAATAGAAATTTAGTTTTAATCATAACTGAACAGCAGGAAGAAGAGTGCCTACACACAAAATGTTTCTGTGAAAAAATTTTGCATAAAGTAAATTTTATGTATTTTTTTAATGAATAAACAAAATAGTTGCTTAAAATGGAAAATCTGCAGCATTTGCATCTCCCCCTATCCAAAAATGAGAAAAGAAACTCATTTTCATATTATTTTGGTTAAAATATATTATCTTTTACTTGCCAGAACCAAAGTCAAAGTCCTATTTTATGTATATAAAAATCCTGCAAACTGTAAATTAGGTCTTTGCAAGTTGGCTGCTAAATGCTCTAGTTTGAAGGACTTTTATCTGTAATTTGAAAGCTAGCTATAAATTTCGTGAATATGATGCAAAACATCCCATCTTTAGTGCAGAACTCCTATTAGTAGTCATTATTAACAATTTACTGTCATTATTCTTAGATGTCAGTTCTCTGTTAAATAGAGGTTTCTCAGAACTGTGGTGGACTGCCCTTCTACAGCAATGGAAAAAAATGCCCTAATTGGGCAGTTACTGGTTGTCTTCCAGAATACGTTTTCTGTTAATAGAGGAATAATATTTTTATTAGTTAATTTTACAATATATACTATTATAAGCAACATCAAAATGTTACTGATGAAAAGATAAACACACAAAAATATATTTAATGGTTGTATTCCTTGTGTGTATATATTATGATACCACCTTTAATTACAAGTCTACATACTGTTTTTTTCTGTTGCACCTCTGCCTGAAGAATCAGGCATTACTATGTGTCTAAACAACTGCTAAAAAGTTTTACAGCCACAATTCAGTTGATAGCTTTTTTCCTAATTTCTGAACACTACTGAAAGCTGGTAAGGAATATGAAATAATTCATTTGTTCTTGAGATCTTCCAAGAAATTCTGCAAGGCACACTCTGAGACCCTCTGAAACATTAATGAAGTTATTTCCATGAGTACACAAAATAAAATACGCAGATAGACTTGATGGAAGTTACAGCTGATCTATATATGACAAAGGAGTTAAATCAGTTCTTCTGCCTTTACCCTTCCACTCTTGTCATCCAGCCGCTTCCAGAGCTTCCTTTGACATTAAGTTTTTTGGTGGCTGCTTAAGGCTTCAGCATATTAAATCTCAGCTGGGTATTGAGAAAAATATTATGACCTAAATAATGCTAATTTAATGAATTTCTTTAGCATGAAATTTTCTAGAGTTCTTAAAATAAAAAGATGAAAAATAATTCTGTTATGTAGAATTGGAGCAAGCCTATTGTCAGAAGCGGAGCTCTGAACTGCTGTCATTGTGGAGGTGTTAAGCATAATAGCTGCACAATCAACCACAGTAACCCCACCAAGAGCATGTTATTAAGAAAGCCAGCAGAAGGATGGAAAGACTGAGGAGTTCATGAACTAGGTGCTGAGGACCGTCAGGGGTGTCCAAACTAACTCTGTCTTTCTCTCTCTGCGACAGGTAGAGCTTTTTATCATCTTCTGCTACCAAAGATGAGAATCCCACACTTGCAAGGAAGCTGGCAGCTTTCTAGGATCCCAGTACACTTGCTTCTTGCTATTCCACTGTCAGCAGTGTGGGTCTGAACCTATACAGCAACATGCATGGCCATTTTTTTCATAACCTTCCAAAAATTATTCACGGCACACAGTATAGAGAAGGGAAAGAATAATTTGAAAAGGGCAAACCTGAATGGAATTTTCAGAAAATTTCATTCAGGAAAATGAAAAACATCTGGCCCTAGAGTTTCCTCTTTGCTTTGTTTCAAAACCTTCCTGTAAGCCTAATGGTGTCAGTGATTTTTTTAGGAGAAATCAACTCAGTTAGGAAAGCCACTGAAATCTTTTATCATATAAGGCATTGAACAACCTAAACATAAGCAGTTTTGCCAGCTTTCCTTCTAATGAGTGCTGTATGTAATTCTATATCTGAAAACAATTAATTCTGTTTGAAACAGATCGTAAACAGAGAGTAGCAGCAGCAGCAGTTTCAACCATTCTAAGAAAAAGAGATTCCAGACATGCAAGAAGAACTATATCTGCTACTAAAACTCAATTTTTTCCTGGTAAGCAATACAAAAGTAAAATATAAACCTAACAAAGCCTGAGGCATGAGGAGGTCAAGAAAGACCTTTTAAGCCTTTCCTGTCCTGAGATGCTTCAGTTTAGTTACAGAGTTACCCGAATTCTACACAAATTTAATATGATCTGGCTTCATTATTGAAATATGTTTATATCAGAAATAAATAACCCTGACAGTGAAACTACAAGAAGGCTTATATATACCATGGGGAAATGCTTTCTTCAGTCTTCTAAATGTCTTGCATTAATGACTTTGTTGGGGTTTTTTTTTACCTCATTTGAAATTTCGGTCATGTTATATGCCATATTTGGGGTTTGGTGTGAGAGGTGTGTGTGTGTCTGTGTGAAAAGTATACACAAATGTACTGACATGTATGTATGCTCTCTGCGTTTATGACTCTTGACAAAATCTTCTATCAAAGGGTGGAATGAACAGCTGTGGTAGGGCTCACAGAATGGCTTTGCTGGCACTGTAGCCTATTTGTGGGAAAAATTCCCATAACGTGCAAATTTATAGTTTCAAGTAGTTATTAAAATTTGATCTTCTGAGAATATATTATGTTCAGCACAGATAAATTAAGTGGCACGGCTAAACTCAAAGTTTTCATTCCCAAAATCACAGTTTGATTAAAAAAACCTTTTCTGTGTGAAGGGGAATCAGGTCTGAGGGTTACTGATAATGCTGGAAGAGTCATATTCTTTAATAAAGCCCATGAATTCTAGTTTTGTGAAAGGGGCCCTATCTTTTCAAAGTTAACATACAAAATAATAACTTTGAACAGCAGAACAACCTCCCTCCAAAGCAAAAACAAATATGAAGCCAGCAAATGAAAAAAGTAGTTCTAGAACTGTCTAGGCTTGGGTATGTTGCCATTTGTCTTGTCAATTCTTCAGGAGTTGGAGAAGACTCAATAATTTCTCTCTACAACTCAGTACCTTACGGCGTTTCAGCTTTACCTAGAAAAGAGTGAATAGCTGCCTGCCTGTCTGTCTGAACTCTCCTGGGAGTACAATTTATGCTCCCCCGTTTTAGAGTGTTAGCTACCTCTAAGATATATTTATGAGCTCATTATTTTCATCCCCCAGGAAAGGAATCTGTCTCTGCCATCTTTTGTCTTTAATAGCTTCACTAATATCATTCCTGTTTTATCAGCATGTTCACAATGACATTTTTAGTGTTGTATATCCAAAGGCATTTTTGATGATGGAATTTTATGGAAAGTCAAATCTAGTTTTACTATACTGAAGGGGATAGGAACCCCGTATTGGTCTATTTTCCTTTCTTGTGTGTTCCTCCCACTTCAGTCTATCCATTTTACCAAGAAAGATGCTTAGCTGTATGAACTGCTGTAATGGGTTTTATTCTATTCTGAATTTCATTGATTTCACACACCATAATTCCGGTCAATTCAGTAAGCTTTGGCTGATTTACAGCACTATAATTTAAAGTAGAATCAAGACTATATGAAAAGTATTTATTTTGTCTACAGTTTCCAACTTTAAGATTTTCTACTGGATTATAAATAGCTATGAGTTGCTTCTTCAACAGCCCTTGATAATATTTTCATTTTCATTAGTGCACAGCCTGGTACCTAGAAACAAAACATTGAGCTCCATAGAAGAAGACAATACAACCATCCTGGAAACACTGGAGTGACAATAAGCAACTGTAGCTCTGAGAGAATGTGACAGTATCTCATATAGATGAAAAGATGTATATGTACTATTAAAAGGTTATTCAAAGTTCATAAGGGATAAAGGAGGAAAAAGAAGAAATCTTTGTGAATGAGGACGACTTCCTAGGTAGGCTCAGGAAATCAGTGGCTTAATATCACTGTGGTCCTACAAATGTTTGAGCTCATGCTTCCCCACAAATAGATGATTTACTTCACGTATGCTAGTCTTGTGAAACTGTTGGTGCTCTATGTCTGTAAATTGTACCACTAAGTCTGGCAGCCAGAGGAAGGGAGGAAAAAGCATATGGTACTACAAGGGATTAAATACATACACAGGAGAGGAGAGCATTTAAAGCATTCTGGTTATAAATGTTAACAGAGTATATTTTCTAGACATTGGGTCCATCCACATTTATGTAAAACAGTGCCTTGAATGGTTTGAATTGACAAAATACAGTTGCCCTTAAAGGCAGCCACAAGTGGAGGAGGAGAGCACAGGATGCTTTTTCTCCAGTGCAAGAAGTAAATGTTCTTTAGGTGACTAACCTGTATGTCCATGCATAAAGCACTTTCATATCAAGTAGGACTTGATAATAATGGTACATGGGAAATGAACCATAGAAGAAAAGTCTGTTCCTTGCTTCGTGTTCATGACAGAGAATCTTAGGGAGATTCCTACATCAGAGCCTTTCTTTGCAAGGCTTTGTTTGAGGAGTTATCTAAAATGGAAGAGGCAATGTAAGAGGTTTTAGAACAAATTAATAAATTAATAATAGCAATTACAAGGACTGGATAGTATTCCCCATAGCATATTAAAAGAACTCAGATAGAAACTGCTGAAACGTCATGTGCTGCCTACTGCTTAAACACGCCTACGTTCCAGAGAAATGGTGAACCGTCATGTGCTGCTTACTGCTTAAATCAGCCTCAGTTCCAGAGAAATGGGTAGCTTTTCTGATGCTGCTGTTATACCTTTTACTTAAACCACTTTCTCTAAACCACTTAAGTACATTTTCTACTACTGGCAACTGGTTAAGTACAACTATTCTCGTATGGCTGTATCCTAAAAAATTTAAGCTGGGGGCATGGCACAGAATTACCTGTTGGGAGCAGGCCAGTGTGTATGAACTGCACTTAAGAAAGAAAAGTTGCACAAGAAACACAGACAGTATAAATCATGGCTTTTCATACCTACAGTGAATCTGCCTAGCAGGGCTTTTTAATTTTGGAAGTTATGTTAATATAAGTATATGGGTTATAAGCTAAAGGGTGAATTTATGTCACTAGAAATTTACTACTATAATTTCTCATTCAGACCTTCTTTTCTAGTACAAGAATGACATTTCTTATTTATTTTTTTTCCTATTTTGAAAGCAGCGTAGGGTCTATTGGAAAAAAAAGTGCCCTTATTCCTATTCTAGACAGGGACTGTCCACACGGGAATCATATTGTTCATATCAGCATATTATTACTCTACAGTCTACGAGAACAATCAAACATAACTGTGCACAGTTCAAACATAATGCATTCTGCCACATTGCTCTTATTTTCAGTGATACTCCATTGGCTCACAGAACCGCAATTTGGTTCTTTACATTTTAAGATATAAATACAGGATTCCCTGATTCACTTGTCTGGCTCATAATAATGCATAGTTTATACTAATGTATTTCAGTATGTTTTCTTTTTATTATATTGTGATGATCGTAATTTTCAACATTATCAAATCAATATTCATATTGTATCTATTGGAAGAGATTTTGAGTATGTCCCAGTCATGGCACTGAGTATTCCAAAGACTCTGTAGAAGTAGTTACATATTTAACTGATAATTCAATAGCCTATGAATTACAAGTTGTATTGTTGAATTCCTTCTACTATCATATCTATGCAGCTTATCTGAAATCTTAGACTTATTTATATAATTTCTTTTCTGAAAATGAGTGTAGCCCAGAGCCAGCAAACATGCACAGTACCTTGCTAACCTATGATCAGCTGAGTTCAGTGTCAGCAACGACCTGTATCTAGGTTTTGGCCTCAACACCCAGCCGCAATTGAAATTCCTCCCATACACTAGCAGCTGCTCCCAGTGCAACAGCTTTGGCAGAAGCTGCCCATCTCTGTGGGTCAGGCTGTGGCCGGTGGTCAACAGTTTGGCATCTTTTGCTTACTGAAGCAGACATTTCCTGTTTCTCCCAGGGGAAAGGTGGTGAGCCTGGAGAAAGACGGCCACCAATGAGGTAATGCAGAGCTAAGTCATTGCAGTCTTAGCATTTGAAGTGTAAAAGGTGAAACTATCTTATGAGATAGAGACATCAGAACATTAACACTTATCCTTGCATTCGAAATAGAAAAATAAAGAATTTCCAAAGTACGATGTCAATAACAGGAAAAAAAGACAGTATCTTAGTGAGTGTGTGATTTGACTCTCTTGCTTCAGGCTAGAAGAAATGCAGAAGTAAATGTGTAACATAGATGTTGGAGGAAAAGTGAAATTTTGCAGTTCTCAGGTACAGCAATTCTGTACTTTCTAGTAACATGGGAAATGGGATGGCTTGTTTAAAATGCATGTTTTAAATCACTGAAGACCATCAGCCACTAAAGCAGTCGGATGGCAATCTAATAACTATCTGAAAGAGAGACGTTGTAGGATTGGGGTGGCAACCAGGCCTCAAAGAATACAACCTCAGGATTTCTGGACTGCAGTTGTTTTCTGGACTGTTTAGGCTTTGTATCATGCACAGCATTTGAAATAAGTGGGCTTGACAGCTATAACATGCACACAAGAAACAACAAGACAAATTTCCCCTCAGTCATTATAATTCCTGGATCGTTCTCCTTGCTATTGTATTAAAATAATCATTCCTCACCTATGAGCTTAGAGAGGATGGGCCAAATTTTGCTGTGTCTCAGATGCTTTGCTACAGCTTCAGTTTAGTTTATGGTTATAAATGAAAGCAAACTCTGTCCCTATAGTGTCAGGGCTGGCTTTTCAGTGAATTCAAGCTCACTTCTCCTGTATTTAGCAAGGAGAATAGGCAGGATACATCTTCTACAGCATCAAGTAAATGGAAGCCAAGAAAGGAGAAATTTGTTTAATCTTGGCCAATTGGAGCATCACATATATGATTCCTGTCCTCCTCAGTTAATTGTTGATCTCTGTCTTTTCCTCTGCAGCTTAGAGGAAGATGCTGGGAAAAGGAAAGCTTGTCACAGTATTCAATATTTATCACAGACTTACATGTTTCTAAAGCATTACATTTCCAGAAAAAGACTTGAAACCTAATTACCACTTTGGGTCTTCTGCCATGTTTCAGAAAGGAGGATAAAATCTATAGGGCATGAGTAATTTTAAGGACCTTTTTATAGCTTCAGTAGCACACTGATACACAAGGGGCCATTTCTCTGTTGAATTTGCATGTGCCCAGAACAGTGTTACACATAGGCTCTGACAGGAGCATCAGCCTACTTTCCCATTTTATCTAGGTTTGTCCTGAGGTTGAAATAAGATCCTTTGCTATTTTTATTACTTCTCCAGTTTTACTTTAACTTTGCTTTTCGTATTCAGCTGCTTAATTACCAAAAATCCAGACTGTACCTTTTAACTGGATTTGTAAAGGAGAGAAGCCCAAATGAGATAGTAAGTGGAGAAGGGATGTAGCTAAATATACGTGTCATAGCCCATCCTCTCACTATGAACTCAGTAGAAACTCATTAGCAGGTTTAGAGAAGGTATAGATGGTCTGGGATGGACCGTCCAGCTCTAGGATGGACCTGGAGTTAAGATATTATGTGTTCTACTGTAGTTCTTTGAAAAATGGATTGTATCAATAACTCTGACTTCATTAGTCTGACACTACCATTTCTGCACTCCTTTTTCTGTATCTCAGTAAGATATTGTATCAGTGACTGTGTTGCTAAAGGTGTTATTATGCCTTTACCTGTTTCTGAGATGTGTGGTGATATCTGTGTCAACAACTGTATGATTCCCAGTAGCTCTTCATGTCCCTGTGCATATAGCAGGGAAGTTATGTGAGGCTGTATCACGTGCTCCTGAGCAACAATCCAGGCCACTTGCATGGGAGAATGACTTGGAAAGTCCACAGGCTCCAAGATGCACTACTTCTGATGGCCAGCCATAGTTTTTTTGTGTTTTGGGAGACTTTTAGTTAATCCCAAATTTACAATCCCTAGTTAATGACTACTAGTAAACTTTTCAAGAGCAATTGAGGTGCTTACCTTCAAGTTACTTTCCAAGGAAACATAGGACTTTTTTATGGGGCTTCGACATGTTAAAGTCCCACTGGAATCAAGAAGTTAAATACCAAAACATGGCCAATGCTTTCAGGGGTTCCAAAGAAGTATCTGCATCTCTAGGCACTGAAATTTCACTGAAAAGCTGGCTCTGGACCTCTGTCTTGCATTTACAATAGGTCTCAATATTTAAAATTTGCATATTCAAAGTTTAACAGTCTGCAGATGTATTTACTATTTCATAATATGGATAAAATTGTTGTAACTTTCAGTAGTGGAGACCAACAAACAGCAGACTCCACTTACTGCACAGACCACAGAGATACTGCCTATAATTCCTGAACAAGAGCATTGCCATGTGGATGCATCAAGTGTAGATGGTAAGTAAATATCTTGCAACTCTTGGATTATTCTGTTTTACCTCCTATTTTTAAAATTAATAGCATGCAATATCTGCTCAAAATAAACTCCTCCTTACTTCTAGTCAAGGCATATGAGATGACAAACTTGAAAATGTGTTTGTGAACGCTAGATGGCAAGAAAACAAATTCAGTTTTCCTTCCAGTACCAAGAGTGATCAATAAACTAATCTGTTAGTCTGTTAAACCCCATGTGTCCCTAAAGACAGTGCAAATTCTGACACTTTTTCTGGTGTAGAACATTGTGTCCTGGACTTCAGTATTGCACGGACATTTGTTTCTGACAAGGACAGAGGAAAAGCAACTCGCACATGATCTCTAAAAAGAATCCTGTGTTTGAAATAAATAATTTGCTGATCAAATTCACAAAGAAAAAAAAATCAGTCCACTCTGTCCTTATCAAACCAATCAGGAGATGTGGGTAGAAGTTGGTTTCAGCTTGGAAGTAAGACTAGTCTCCCACTTCTAACTTTCTGCAGCCCTTGGGCTCCAGTAATTGTTTCAAAAGGTCCAGGTATAATGAAAGAAATCTGAAAAGAAACACGCAGTAATGGACGCCTCTTCTAGGCAAGACTTTTAATGCCTAGAAATAGGAGAGATACCACTTGAATAAGTAATACAAGCACGCTAATGTATCAATTGCATAAATGAGGTTATGGCTATTTGCACAGATTTATGTTACTGCACATGGCAAATTTTTTAGGTTAAAAGCTTAAGAAAATCTTTCTTTATTTATATATACTTAAATTGGATGGAGTTCTAGTGAAAACTCAATATGATGTCATGCTATCTTTTTAATGCCTTAGAAAAAATGATGTACTGAAGGGCTGTTTTATTTCTGGGCTTCATGTAGAACTATAAAAAATGAAGTTTTATGTTGAGAGCACAGTTGAAGAAGAAATTTTGAACAGCACTGCATGGAAAAGATGAACTACTTCCATAACAAATTAATAATACAGCTAGATTATGGTTTTGCCTCTGAGAGAGACTAGCTGGGTTACAGGCCAGTGCATTATAATAATTAAAAATAACGGCCTCTTGTTAAACAGTTCACATCCATAAATCTTATGAGGACTTATACAGATGAAAAGGTGTCATTATTGGTATTTTAAAAAGGTAACAGAGATAGAGAAAGATATCATGACTTGGGAAGTCATCGACATAGCTGAGAGCATCCTCAGATGATCTGAGTTCAGCTCTTTGTCATTTGGATGCCACAAGCTTTTGCTGGATGAACAAGGCCTTCCTTAGACCTCCACCAGCCTTTTCTTTCTCCAGGGACTCCTCCCAGTTACTGCAGCATTCAGTTACTTCAGACTGCCTCTTCAGATACCTGTCAACTATCTCTTCAGGTAAAGCTTCATCTTCCCATACTCCCACCTCCTGGGAGTACTGCCCATTTTAATCGTTTCCTGTGGTAAGAGCCAGCATTTAGTCTCAGGTTAGAAACAGATATTTCCGAGGTTATAATACCATATGTTACTGAAGAGTGCTTACTAATCAGTGCCTTCATTATGCAGCACTACAGCTGAGCAGCAGCATCCTATGTCCTTCCAGGATATTGGGTTCATCAAAGATCATTTTATAGGTGCTGGAAACAACATGTCATGGTCCATTCCCACACAAACCTAACTTTTGTCCACCACTGGGAACAACCACTGGGATTGACCTGCCAGCACACCTCTTGCTTTCATTATGTCAACTGTTATGCCTTAAAAGGCTAGAAAGAGGAGATGAAACAGCGTGGCAAACCTTTGATTTGGAATAAATTCAGCTAATAAAAAAATTCATCAACTTCTGTACCCATTCCTTTACCAAAGGAGAACGTGTTCAGCATGGGTCACTTAATCGCTCTGTGTATTTTCAGGGTACTTATTATCATAGCATTTGGGTGCTGAAATTAAGGATCCTTCTCTATTTCGGTCATCTTTCATTAAATGACTGCATTAGCAACTGTCCTGGAGAAATGCATGAGTCAAACGTCTCAAGTGCTGTAAGACAGTTCTCTGTTTATCTATCTGTGACAGCTTTAGAGGTATTTCCTTAGTGCTGTCAAAAGGTGACATAAGAATTAATGCAAGTTATGAGGGTGCTGTTTATTTGGTTAGAAAGCATGAACATTTTATTCAGGAAGGCAAATATTTGCTTTAGGACCAGTGCTGGTCAGTGGACAGCATGTTAGACTAAGGCTCTGGAGACCCAGCTTCTTTTTCTGTCTCTACCAATGGCTCCTCATTACCCCAGTCATTATTTATCCCCAGCTAAAACAGAGACTGTGTAGTGCTTTTAATTTGCAAAGCACTACTTACATCAATTGTTATTTTTAGCAGCTCTAAAATGCCTTTTCTGTGATAAATGAAAAGAGAGAAACAAGAAGCTGGACTGATAGCAACAAATCTGGGGGAACATCAGATCTTAGAGTGGATCAGAAGGATAAATACTGAATTTATGTATCAAAGATAGGCTACTAGCTTCCTTTACTTGAAAAAACGCAGCATGTGAAACCATAAGACGACTAATGTTTCTGAATGCACTTGATTCAATAGCAGTTCCCTAAAACAGTGGAAGAATTATTGGAGCAAGAAATAAAAGGGGGCAAGTAAGAGTCATATCATCATGGCCATTAAAAACTCCCATATATATGGTGAACCGTCTATCTTAAAGCACTAGAGCATTCAGCAAGACGATTTTGCTGATGGTTAGCCCTGATACCATTGTTCCGTAGGGAAGATTTCAGCTAAACTTGTCATTTAAGGCTTAAGAAAACACATCCCAAGGAACGACTTTTCTCCATCTTGCTCTCTGTCCTGCCTTTGTGGTGGCCCATCTTTCCCCAGCAGCCTGGGCTGTGTGAAACCCAGGCAGACTAGCTATGCAGGTGATTGTCTCTCTGGCCTCTTCCATACCAAAGATGCGCTCTAATCTTACAGTGATTACAGCATAATAATAATCACCTGTGTATAGCATGAAGAGTAATTGGGAGCCCTCTCTTACAGTATTTCTGTCCTCTGCCCATTTAAGAGAAAGCAGCATTACATTCTCAGAATCAAAAGGAGCACTGAGAAATTTCAGAACTTCAGAGATGACTAAGGACATAACAACATTTTATCTTATTTGGGAAAATTAATGACAGTTCCTGGAAGAAAGAAAGAAAACCCAATGTCTTATGGCCAACTGTTGTAGAGATTTTTTTTGTAAAAAGTGTCCAGTGTCATGCTCTTAGCTGTTGTTAGACCAGATTCACATAAACTGGTCAATATTACCCCAAATACTTTATTTACTACAGCATTCTCTTTGGCAGTCAATGGCCCAAGGACAAGATGAAATAACATTAGCGTCCTGCCTCCCGTTAATTCTCTTAATAAAACAGGTTGAAGTGTCAAAGGCTGCATAAAGGCTAATGAAAGTTCCACATCAGTAATTGCCAATGATTTTTAGTAAGCTTCCTTTCGCTGTCAGCACTTCATTTCTCTTTGTAAAAAGCTTTGAGATCCTTGAGTATGTCAGGTGCTTCATGTCTCTATGTTATTTCCTGTGTGACAGTGTAGCTTTACAGTGAAATAAGACAAGTCAGTCTCCCAGTGAATACATAATTTAAAAACTAATCTTACCTTCAGGTGAAATGGATTATAAGACTAAAGCATGAGGTAAGATAAAGAACTGAGAGAGGGAGGATGCAGAGGGGGAGAATGTGTTTGGCTAAAAAGATGAAAACTTCTTTCACAGAAACTGTAAAATAAAGAAGTTCATTCTTCCCTTTCCTCTCTTACAGTCTAAAAGCACGTGGGCACAAACCCTCCCATGTGAGGTGGCTCAGAGATCAGTAAGTAACTAAGTGTATGAGAGTCTGATTCCTATCCAGCTGCATTCAGATCATCATCACTACTGTCTAACTCACTAAGGATGTCCTCCCCTAGAGACTTAGAAATTGAGCTGTACAGAGCATGATCTAAGACCAGGAAAACTCAGTGCTAGTCCATCTAGGGTATTACGCAGCTTTGGTCCCGACCCCTCCTTCCCTCCTGAAGAGGTCTTTCAACACCATGATTACAGAACTTATTAGCACAAACAGAAAAAGCAACTGAAAGTATTTTTTGCTTGCTTTTGCCTTTGTGATTGCAGCTTTACAAAAATATTTTCACATTTAAAAGAACGCCTCTCTCACATGTCTCCTGGAGCAAGACACCCACACAAACAACGTAAGATAGAAACTACTCAGGGGAAACAGGGAAACTGGCAGTTCAAAACATTCTGGCAAAGGCACCTACCAAGTGTACTCAGGAACGAGAGGAAGATGACAGTTAAGCTTTGTTTTTAGAAATCATGCATGTATTTGTACAGAACAGTAGGTGTAATTTTAAATTGATGAGCTCCTTCTAATTATTCTTTTGACGCTGTGAAAAGCATCATTTCAGTGCTCAGAAGTGACAAGCGCGCTGTGGTTAATGCCATGATAAAACTGGGTGTGATGTGGCTGAAGGCAGCAGTTCCTACAAGCACTGACATACTGGATTTGCCAGGTGGCCATTTTTGCAAGATACTACTTGTTATGCCTTTATGAATCCCTACAGACAACTCTGTGAACAAAGATTTAGGTCCGCATGCAGCTTTAAATGTCGTAAGGAGGGCATGCAGTCACTCAATTACGTATTTATTTTTTAAATATCATGAAGGATAATTTCCCCACTGTTTCTGCTTCCAGAATAGATTCAAGTCTTATTCACACATTAAAACTAAAACTTCTCTTAGTACCAGACAGCTCACAGAATCAGATTGCTGAGTACATTCCTGGGTACTTGGCACAAATGTTGGGCCCTGCTTAAAATGCATACCAGGATGTGTTTCTCTCCAACACAGCGACATAAAGGTTTTTGAAGGGAAGCGCTCATGTTTGTGTGCAGAACAGCGCCGTAACGGGCCCTGTTATAGACTGTTTAAAACCCCTATTCCATTAGCTGGCATCAATTTTCGATGCATTATACCCTGACTACATTTGTCGTTTTCTAGCTCACTTCAGCAGCTGCTGCCTCCAGTATGAGTTCACAGCCAAAGAAACAGGGAAAGGGAGACAAATGTTGCTATTGGGCCCTCAGCTACATGAACTACCAGCATAGGTGGCAAGCTACATTTGCTTTGTCACTGAGGGTGAGAACAGGAAGTGCAGAAGTCTTGCACTTTTCTCCCATATGTTGTGTAGTTCCCTAAAAACTAAAGACGAGCCTGACTTGGAGCTGGGCATTTTCGTATTTCAAAGTTGCCCATCACATGCAACTTCAGGAGTTGCAGTGCGGCTTTCCAAAGCCTCATTGATGATTGCTGATGAGTATTTTTCATTTTAGAAAGTGAAAAAAACTGCATTTATTTCGTTATTGCCAAATTTGTCCCACCAAATACCAGTATACTACAGGAAGTGAGGCATACATTTGCAAATTCTTCCTTCCAGCTGGTAGTTCAGATTCTTCTAAAGTAATTTTATTTTCATTAGGATACTTTAGCTTATTTTGGCTAGGCTGCAGTAGGATCCTTGTAATACTCAAAATTTACTTCTGAGCACTGCTGCAGAGGGAGGAGTTCATAAAGAGATGGCTGAGGAGCTGACACAGAGCGAGAGGTTGTGGAATGGGAGCAGATATCACAGACTTTTCTCCCTCATCTGCCTACTCAGAGGGGGGCAAGCACGAGTGAAGCCTGCTCAGTTATCTGAAGGAAAGAGAGCAATCAGCACCCACCTTCGAAAGAGAGTTCCAGGCCGCACGCTGTGTAGATGGAGACACTCTGCAGAAACCCAATTTGAGAGACCTCAGGGACATCCTTATTGGCTCGCTTCAGGCATGTGCACCTGCGAATTGCTCTCTAGGTCAGCTTTTGACTCTGCCCACTGGTTGTTAAGAAAATCTTAAATTGCTGAGCTTCCCTCAACAGTGAATAAGGACACTCAGGTTTCTGCATTATACTGTGTGGAGCAAGTACTTAAAATGTCATCCTCTAGGCAGATATCAGACTTGAGTCTTTGGCTCCAATCTGATGCATGTCCTCTATTTCGCCTGTCTTCGTTACAATCTTTTTTTTTTTTTTTGGTAATAAAGAGGAAAATTCATTAATGTGAAAGTTAAAAGAAACCTAAAATTGTGGAGTTCATTACAATGACAAATCTAAAGTAAATTAGAAAAGAGTACTTTTTTAACCTCATCCTTTTGTCCAATAATACTGTTTTTTTCTTAGTTTTAGGTATCACCGTATGAAATATGATCAATATTGCATGAAAGAAGAAATATATTACACAACAGAAGAGAGCATCTTCATTTCTAGTACAGCTGGGGAGCTATGTTATTCATCTTTTCATGAGAATGCCAACTCTGTATTTTAGATGCTGTATTTAAGAAGCTATTTTATCCATAAGAACTATTTGGTATTAAGAAAA